TTTGGACTCTCATTCTGACGGCACCCATTCACTGCAGAGCATCCATTGGTGAACAAGTGATGTAATGTTTCTCCAAATTTCTCCAAATCTGATGAAGAAACAAACTCATCTACTCTACATTCTGGATGGCCTGAGTAAATGTGAACCTTTCTGAATATAATAGACTTCAATTTGAATTATTACTATTAATATTATTATTTATTAATTTTAGTTATTTGTTTTATTTTTTTGGAACTGCTAATTGACAATAATAGTCTCAGCCATCATGGCGACCCCCAAAATAAAAAGCTAGATTTGCACAGTGCCACTTTAAAATAACTTTCATGAAATGATTTACATTATCACATGATTTAATGATTAGCATATTAATCATGAAATTAGAAGAATATTCAAGCTGCTGGATAACATGAATCATCAGGTTGGCACAAACTTGTCCAAATGCTGTGGTTATTTAAAGCAAAACGGAGAAATTCTCACATTTCTAAGCTAATCACATGATTTCTAATTGAAACATTTGTATTTTATTGGCTGAACAGAAACATTTTCACTAATTTTCTCAAACTTTTGAGCCTCACTGTGTGCTGTAAATCTGCAACTTTTGCTGTCCCAGCCACATCTCACCTCCTGTCTGTCCTCTCATCGGCGCGCATCAGTGCCATCATCACTCATTCAGAGATGAAGGCTGAGTTCGCACGCCCGCATGGGATGGGATGGGATGAGGGGTGTGTCATTGGTCGTGATGTCAGAGCGCAAGGACTCTCATGATTGGCTCTAATTAGAATCTGCAGCAGCAAATAGACACACGTCCTGCATGATTGGATTCAAAGTGGTTGGTGCCAAAAAGCGCAGAGAGGCGCAGGAGCTCCAAGCGCGGGTGGAGGACGCTGCGCTCCAAATACGGTCAGACAGGCGAGCAGCACTTTTAGCTTGTTACCGAGAGCTTATTAGAAGAGTGTGAGGCGGAATAAGACGCAGCTGATATACCCGGAGCGTTTCGCGTGCGCAACTGCAGCACGGCAACTTCAGAAACATCAAGCAGGGCAAGTTCGCCAAAATCTGAGCACCATGGCATCGGTCTCCAGCAGCCAGGTCAAATGCAAGTTCAAGAGAAGGAGGAGGAGGAGGTCCAAGCGAAAAGGTAAAGTTTCTTTCAGTCGTAGTTGAACGCTTTCCCTCACAAAGCCTGGAATACGCAGCGTTAAGTGGCGATCATCTCCGCGCAACTGCGCAGTCTGGATGTCAGTACGCGGGTTTGTGTTTGATGCGCGTCGGTCGCGTCACAATCGTTCCTCTGTCAAGTTTGTGTAAACATATGCCAGCTCGCTTCAGCTGCGCACTGATTCACGCTCGCGCCGTTTATTTCTCCGTCTGTGCATCCAGTATTTACAGTACTGATATCTGTCCTTGTCCTAACCTCAAATATAAGATTTGACCTCCTGCGATTGTAATGTTATACCACGTTTTCAGTCTCTCGTGACCATTAAATGCGCATTTATGGGATTTTTGTAGTTTTGGGGAATTTAAATAAACTGTAACTATGACCAGGCACAGTGAAGACATAAATGGGGTTTGTTATTCCTTAAGGTGTTATTTCTACCTAATCTGACCTTTTAAAATGACTTTGCATCTGGAACCTAAATGTAGACAAATTAAATCATAAATGTAAATGTTACAACAAAACATTCTACAGTTTAAACTGTGATTATATGTCAACTGTCAAAATGTTTTCATGGCTGTAACAGAATATTTATTTTCATCTATATAATTTTTACTCCAATTTCTCAAAAACCTTTACATTTGCTTTTCTTCATTATTTATTAAATTCAAAGTGCTATGAACTTCACAGCAGGTTATACTGTATGATTATACTTGATTTGATTTTACTTTAAATTTTAGGCAACTTAATTCTCAGGTGTGTTCGAATTGTTTGCCTTTTTAGCACATTAAATATTAAACTGCTATAGTACAAAATATCAGTAAATAAAATGATCTGTGGCAAACAAACTTCCAGCTACCAAGCTTTATATGGAAATTATGTGAAGTTACAGTATACACCATAAACTGATAACCAAAAATGCACTTTATGCAGTAACATCTGCATTTATTATTAATATGTCTGAGTGAACTTGCCAACATGAGTTTACATGACAAAATGAAAGTCCTTTTCAAAGGTCAGATCGAGTAGAAATAGCACCTAAGGTAACAACAGCACGTTTTCACTGTAAAAAGCCCCTCAAAAAACTAGTTAATATTAATTACTTGCTTTCATTTAAGTATTATTTAAACATGACAGAATCCACCTAATTAGTTTACACCAACAAAAGGTATTTTAACGGTCAGATCATATAGAAATAGTCCCTCAAGGTAATCGATTGGCGCTCCTTGGATAACTGAGCAGTGGCACTGTTATTATATTCCTAATAGGTCTAGTATAGTCCAGAAGCTACAAACGTAGTATAGAATATATTAAAGTACTCTAAATTACTTGCATGTATAACATGGCTCTTTTGTTTAAACAATTTAATATATGTTTTTAAACAATTACACTCAACACAGAGATTATTATTATTAAAATTTTAGCTTTCGCTATTTTCTTTTCTTTTTTTGTTTCCATGTGTGTAGAAGCAGGAATTTTTAGGGAAATTAGTTGCACCAGTTCTATTTCCATTATCAGCTCTGAAATGTCATCATAATGTATTGAGAACAGTGCAGCATAATAGGATTGAATGACAGCGGGCACACTTGCTTCTCATCTTACTTTGGTGGCTGGTAATAAATGGAGGTGTGTGATGGTGGGGAGGTCCAGAAACACCTCTGTGTCTGCTGTGACAGGTTTTGTGCTGCGTCTCACCCCGTCACTGCTCATCGTGTGACCCGAGAGAGGCACGGGCCGTGGGCTGGATGGGCTGATAGCGCGGCATTGATCAGCCACGTTGCTCGCGGTCAGTCTGTCTGTGTGCCTTCGCTGGCAAACGGACACGGATTTGCTTGGAGTTTATTAACGTCTGCATTGCATGGTTTTGCAAAACTGTCAAACGTGTGAACAAGGGTTGTAAATAAATCATGATGATTTTTTTATGTAAATGTTGAATACAGTGGTTAGGCAACATGAGACTGCAGATCCGTCTCATTGTTCCTGGTTTTGCTTTCGAGGACATTGTGATGGAATTATTCTGGTGGAGTCATTTCATGAAGTATCATTAGCGTTGTGCAATACACACACTGATGTCTGTCCACAACTGCGGTCTGACCTGTAACCCAGAGTATTAATAACCCAAGCAATCGTGAGAACGTAGACAATAGTTGTAGTGTAACATCGAGGCAAATATATTTACATAATGGAAATGACAGAATTGGTCACACAACATTAAGCATTGCATATAAACATTAGAGGAGTGCGTAAGAATGTGAGTGTGTGTGTGTGTGTGTGTGTGTGTGTGTGTGTGTTCGAAGGGCTAATTTATCAGCTGAGCTAATGGGAAATGATGGTGCTGGACAGAAGAGTAGGAACTAGGAATGTAGAAAAACATGCTAGAAAGTGTACGTACTGGTCAGATTATTTAGACCGCCAGATTTTCACAATCATCTTTATCTTTTTCATCATCATTATAATAAAAGATTTTCATTTCCACTGGGACAATATACTTTACTCGGGGGAATTCAGACACAATTAATCACATAAAACCAGATAATGTCAGCAGATTGTTTTAACATCTCCCATCTAATCTCTCATAATGGAGATGAAAACATAATACCGTGTCTCGTTCTAACAAATGCTCATTTTTCTGAAAGCCGAAACAATTCATTTTATTGTCTTCCTGGCAAATGGGCGCCGTTCCGGGATTATATCGACATGGCATTTGACGGTCTAATCCTCAGCAAATGCTTCAGATTATTACAGAACGTCCAGTGCATTAAAACCAATGTGTATTCAAACGCACATAAGAAGATTTTGCTCCTGATGTGGTTGTTTTGCGCGCCATTGTAGCGTAGCGGTAATGTTAGCAGAGGTTACTGAGGTAGCACACATACAAACAATAGAGATTAGTCCTCAAAACTGGGACAGTTTCTCTTATTGCTATCATCAAGTATGTGCTTTTTTTAACCTCACATATTTGGTACTCAAATTCTTTTGAACAAGAAAGTGTGTGTTGAGGTATTGTATAGTTGTTTGCTGATAAGTTCAAGGTAAACAGGTCAAAAGCAAACCGTATTGGCGCAGCATATGAGAAGTATTAAATAATACAGTGTTGGATGAGTCAATACATTGGTGCAGAAGAACTACATTTAGTTCTAAACTTGTTAAAGGTTAGTGGATGCTGAAGTGTGTGACTGCCCCGCTGTGGCTTATATGGAGGGGGTCGTTCTGTTAATTGGCTCCGGTGTGAATTAACCACGGCCCAGTTATTTACCCCCAAATCTTTTGGGAAGAGTGTAGTGAAACCCTACCTACCATTAGAAATAAAAATAAGTTTGCTTAATAGAATGTGCACTTTTAATGTACTTCAGATCTTAAAAGTATATGTAAAAAAAAAAATTACTTGCAGATAGCGTAATTTTAATTAAGTAAAAGGCCGCTTAGGTTTACTTAAGTACACTTATTTATGTTTAAGACAAATTTAGTACACATTTAAAAAAAATGCACTTTTGAAATATTGTTAATCATTGTTTTAATAATCTTCTGTCATGATTTAAAGAAGTACACTTATTTTATATGTTTATTAACCTGCTAAAGCACATTTAAACTGCAGTGTGTTATTCGTTATTACATTTAGAGTTAATATATTAAAAAATTTCAAATGTACTAATTTGCTAATTCATCTGTAAAAATGAGTTATATATTTTTATGTGTGTGTGTGTGTGTGAAATACAATTTATGCTATATATACACCACACATCATATGTTTGTATATTTGTATTATAGTATGAATTTTCCATATGTGTTTGTCAGTAAATTCAGCAATACACTTTAAGCAGATTTCAAAGACAATAAAAGTAATTCTGAAATTGTGCTTAAGTCCTATAAAATAAAATAAAAACTTTAAATTTCAGCTAATTGCTTTTAATATGAATTTAAACTATAATGCATTTTAATTTAATTGCAACTGACATAAACTTAAGTGTTAACAAACAGTTCACACTTAAGTATATTTGTTTTTATATAAGTACTCTTTAAAAGCATGCAAAAGTGTACTTTTGTTACACGTATATTGTGATTTCTGTGACAGAGTATTTGACTGAAAGCTGAAATCCTGTATTTTGTTTGGTTTATTTAAATGGATGTAACAGCCTTGCGTTGGTATCATATTGTGCATGAATGTATCTGCTGCTACTTTTGGGTATGTCTAACAGTGTGTCCTGATGTGTGTGGATGTTGACCGACATGTTGTCAAATCGGTGAAGTAATTGCCACAGACATTTCGAGCTCCAGAAGGTCGAGCGGTTGTGCCGATGCGGTCAGAGGGCCAGCAGAGACTCAAACAGTTCTCGAATGAGGCACATATTCCCCATAGGCCAGTTTAGAAAGTAGTTATGCAGCCTTTCTCGCCGTTATTTTGTTAGAATTGTTCATTATTTGTCATCGCACATCCTATATCATATTCGTGATTGAAGCAATCTGAGGTGTCTTTAATTAAACTGCATAGAACAGTTAATAAGAGCATATTTACACAGTCTTTATTATTTTATTATATGCAAAATAAATATGTATGATTGGATTGAGTATGAAGATTTAGCTCAGACATAATCCAGACACCCCAAATCGGTTGTACCGGAAAAGGAAACGTATTTAGCCGTAATCAGATGTAAACACAATTTTTGTCCCAAGCCCTATACTTCATTACACTCTCCTCTTTGTGCACAGTGGTGATAAGGATTTTTTTTTGGTGAACGCCAGTATAACACCTCTAGCATTTAAGAAGTTAATGAAGGTCGTCACCAGCGGCAACCAGAGACCTGTGTGACGGCAGCGTTTCAATTCACACACACTTCCATGATTAAGCGTGAAATATTCCGTGGTTTAGGACACGGCGTCCTCTACAGTGCGTTTGGCTGGGGAGGGGAGAAAAAAAAAAGATATTAACTCTGAACGGTTTCGGCTTCCTCCAGAGGGACTGTCGATAAAATGACCAAAAGAAA